GTTTTCAGCTATTATTTCTTCAAATAATTTTTCTACCCCCTTTTCTCTCTCTCCTCCTTCTGGGAGCCCTACCTTCTTGAATGTTATTATGCTTGATGGTGTCGCTGAATTCCCTAAGTCTTTTCTCATTTTGTGTAATTTTTTTCTCTCACCTGCTCAATGACTTTCCATTACCTGTGTTCTGGTTCATTAATTCATTCCTCTACTTCTTTCCTCCCATTTATTCCCTCTAGGGTATTTTTAATGTCATTTATTGTGTTCTTCATCTCTGATTAGTTCTTTTTTATCTCATCGGTAAGGGTCCCACTGATGTCCTCCATTTTTCCTCAAGTCCAGTGAGTATCTTTGATCATTACTTTAAATTCTCTATCAGGCATATGACTTGTATCCATTTCACTTAGGTCTCTTGCTGCTGTTCTTTCATTTGGGACATATTCCTCTGTGTCCTCATTTTATCTGTTTGTGTCTGTTTCTCAGTGTTAGGAAAGTCAGCTGCATCTCCTGCTCTTGGAAATAGTGCCCTGTTTGCTGGAACCTAGCACTTCAGGGGTGTCTCCTGTGTGTGTGATGTGTGCCTTCCTGTTGGGGCTGAGCCACTCTTTCCTTCAGTCCGGTCATCTGCAGTGGCTCTCTTCACCTGTTGTGGGCAGGGTTTGGTCCATGTCCTGTTAGTGGGCCAGTCTGGGGCCACTGTGGGTTTGAGTTGTCAGACCAGGCATTTGCCAGAGATGTAGTGGCAGCAAACTGCAGGGTGTTTTTCCTGTATTGTCCCCTGAGCAGCTTTCATTGTTGGGTGGGGCTGCCGTGTGCAGGTGCGCGCGCGCGCGTGCGTGCGTGCGTGCGTGTGTGTGTGGTTGTTCCCCCCCCCCCCACCTCCCAAGGCAGAAGTCACTTGTGAGTGGTGCTGGCCCAGACATGGAGCTGCTTGCACACTGCGAGCTTTGAGTTACCACTTTGGATGGGCTCTGGCCCGGAGTGTATGGAGGGGGGCAGCTCCGCGATGCGTGTGGGGTGTGCAGCGCTGGCAAGGTTTGTGCGTTGGTTCTCTAGGGAGGGGACCTGCCGCTGCCCTGGGGATTAAGGCCAGCTGGGTTGGAGGGGGTGGATCTGCAAAGTGTGTGAGCTGGGGCGGGGGGGGGGGGGACGTGGTCTTAGAAGATTTGCACTGGGCTTCTGGAGGAGGGAACCCACAGCATCAGGCTGGAGGCATGGGGCGCAGTGGAAGCATGTGGTTCTCACCGGTGGTGGTGTGGTTATGCTGGAGGGCAGGGGAAGGGAAATGGCTCCTGGCAGCTCCTTTGTTCCTGGAGGAGTCTCCCTAGCATCTCTGCCCCTCCAGACTTGCTCTGAGATCAGTAACTAACTGTCCCTCCCCGATGCCCCAGGCATTTTTCAAACTGCTGCTCTATGTGGTATCTGCACAGGCCCTTCATTCATTGTGCTGCCTCTTTAAGGGCGGGGACTCCGTTTCCTCTAGGCCTCTGGCTCTCCCAGAGCTGAGCCTGCTGCTCTGTAAAATTCTAGGTTTAAGTCGCGCTGGTCATATGAACTCATGTAATTTGGCCTCTCTGGTTTTCAGAGCCGGGTGTTACGGGGATCCGTCCTCCCTGTGAGGACTCCTTGGCTGATGGTCTGTCTCTCCCCTTCTGTCTGTAGCTGCCTGCCTCCCATGGATGGCCACAGTTGCTGTAGCTCCACACTGTGTCTTCACCCTTCCCACCCTCTTTGCTGTGGCCTCTTTAGCTTTAGTTGTGGAGTCCGTTCTGCCAGTCTTCGAGTCATTTTCTGGGTTAGTTACAATGACGTGTTACCTTGTATCTGTGGGCGAGGTGAGCTTAGGGCCCTCCTACTCCACCATCTTCCCAACCTCTTTCCTAAAAATGGTGTTTAATTTATGCTTACAGAACTAGTCACATTTTAAGTGCTAACCTATCGTTGGCTGCTACTGTAGACGGCAAAGGTCTAGGAATTTAGCTTCTCATAGAATTTATCTACCTAGGCAGAGGATTTTCTGGGCCCACTGCCATGAGTATATGGCCCTTTGAAAGTTATACCTAGTTAATATAGAGAAACAAATTGGCCTTTAGGAGTTTTGTACATCAGGGTTTTGTGCATTTGGTTAGTGGGACTCAGGACCTTTGGCCAGTCAGCTTGGATACTCGCAGAACCTGTCTTCATTGTGTAAGGCTAGGAGCCAGATGTCTTACTGTGGTGAATTTCTCTGTGGGAACATGGTTATGACAAACTGACCTCTCTTTGGTGCTTACCCTATCTTCCTCTACCACTTTTGTGTGCTTTGAGCTCCTACAGTCCTCGAGCTTAGCATTACTGTGCCTCTCAGTTCAGCTGATACTTTGTGGGTGGTAGCCTTATGGTTTCCCATCCAGCCAATTACGAATGGATACAAATAAAAGTTTATCATAAATGCTAAGAGTATTGACTTCATGATTTAAAAAAGACCTCTCCTGACTTTGGTGTCCCATCTGGGCAGAGCGTTTGGGTTTGTCTGTCTGGTGTGCTGGGTAGTGTGAGTTGCCCTCTGTCCTCTGTGACTGTTCAGGAGAACCTCAGTCCGAATGTGTCAGACACTGCGCAGTGGGGCCGTCCTGTGGACCCTCCCGTTCAGGTCGCTCCTGTCTCTGCTGCCTTTCCTTTCTCTCTCCCCTAGGCTTAAACACTCTCCCTTCCCTGAACTCGGCTGCCGTCCCCTGGCACGCTCCTTTTCCATCTTTTCCCTCCACCTGCTTGTCTTAACACTGTGCTTCACAAACGGCCCATCACCAGAATCACCTGGCCACTGCTTAAAACCCAGCCGCAGCGGTGGGATTGGGACGTGTGCTGTGACAAATCCCCCAGGGGGCCCGACGGCCAGGCCATGAGACTGGGTTTAGATGACAGCATTTTAAAATGCCTGTTCTCCAGCTCCCAGAAGGACCAGGAGAGAAAGGCAACCCACAGCTGTCCTGACTGCCTGTCACACGTCACATTTACTCACCTGAGTGGACCCTCTGCTCTGGTCGAAGCAGGTGACTCAGAGCAGGGTTAGGGCTCCTCTGTCGGCCGTCTGGAAGATTCTTCTCCTCCTCCCACCTGTTGAACTCCCACCCTTTCTCTGCTGGAGCCTCCCCTGATGCCACAGACTTGTTTCTTCCTTTCTTTTCCCACATCTCTCTGTGTGCCCTGTGTTATGATCTGCCTGCCTGCTCGTTCTTCCAAGGCCTCCTTCTGGAGAAGCCTTTCCCCTCTCCATCTCCCTGCACCCTCCAGCGGGGAGTGCTCAGACCTGCCCAAGCTGCTCATGGTCAGCTTTGCTTGAACTAGACTGAGAGCAAAGAGACACTTCCTCACCTGCCCTCTTCATCTACACCCAGGCATGCTCGCGATTCATGCCACCCGACCACGGCCGTGGCTCTTGGACGAAAAATGCACGAATTGGAAGGCGGATGGGTAAACAGACTGTGCCAGTTGCACGGACTCCATAAGCTGAGAGTGCAGCAAACCCGCTCGAGGTCATTACTAGTGGAGACCTGTGTACCGCAGTAATAGAGCTGCATAATGTGACCTGCCAAGTCCTTCTTTACATTTGAGATCGTCCTATGGAATGCTGTATTTCATTTGATTACAAGCTGGACTGTAATTTGGAAACATTACCAAATACTGTCTTCACCATCCCTTTCTGTCTGTCCTTTCTCCTTACTTCCCTCCATGTATACTAGGGAGGAGGAAATTAACAGATTAAAAAAAAGAGGCCCACTAATGTAGAATTTGCAGTCTTGTTCCATAGTTTCTAGGTGACTACTTGTGACAAAACACACAGTTGTTTCTCCCGCGCTCACGTAACTCCGAGCTACAAAACTGGGTTCTCACCTTCCCTCTGTCTGGGGCCGCAGTTCTGTTAATGAACGTGCCCGTGTATGCTGACAACAGTCCCCTTCCTCAGCTCCTGAGAGGCAGCAGGACCCCCCGTGTGCCTGTCACAGAGGTGCCCGGTAATCACAGTGCTCCTCTGTGAGGGTCCGGGCCAGGCCCCTGACGTAATTACCTCCTGGCACATCAAGTAAACGTGTTTAGGTAACTGGGGGTAGAAACAGACTCTTCCATTGCTCAAGAGAAATGCAGAGGTTGTGCAGTATCTTGGATCTTTCCTGCAACCTCGGAGTTGTAAAAAGATGACCATTCTTTCCCCTAATGAGGCGATAATAATTATCAGCTAATACTTTGGGGGTACTTACTACACACTAGGGATTGTTCTAAACATTTGATGTAAATGAATTTATTTCATCCTTCCCCAAAGCCTTATGAAGTCGGACCATCATCCCTCTTACAGGTGAAGAAGCTGAGACACAGTGAGATCTAAGCCACTTTAAGGCCTCGAGAGAGGAAGTGACGCTGGGGCCATCTAGTTCTAGAACCTCTACTTTTTTTTTTTTTTTTAAAGATTTTATTCATTTATTTGACAGAGACAGAGAGGAAACACGAGCAGGGGGAGTGGGAGAGGGAGAAGCAGGCTTCCAGCCGAGCAGGGAGCCCGATGTGGGGCTTGATCCCAGGACCCTGGGATCATGACCTGAGCCGAAGGCAGACGCTTAACGACTGAGCCACCCAGGCGCCCCTAGAACCTCTACTTTTATCCAGTGCTCCTTTGCACCCCCACAAAAGCAACTATGTCAGTAGAAGACACCAGGCTGTCAAAATTTTTGTCTAGCTTGCTCCTCAGAGTGTGGTCTCCTTGGGCAGCTCGCATACACTGACCAGCCAGTCTAGCACATTCTAACTTCAGTACGGCTTCAGACTTTATAGAACTTTGGGTCTTGGCCTCCCTGCAGCCCGGCCGCTTCCAGTTTCTGGGAGTGATGCCTTCTCAGGCATTCGGATTGCTCTAGGACAACTCTCCAGCTCCCAGGTCCCCGGTAACCCCTCCTCCCTCTCTGCCCTGGGGGGTCCAGCTGTGTCCTCTGGCCTTGCCCCTTCCCACCAAGACCCCCCCCCCCACCCCCTACCTTTAAGCCGAGGTCCAGCTCCCTCAGCGAGCGCCGGATCTCCCTGGTGAGGACGTTCATCCGCTCACACTCCTGGAAGGCGACGACGATGTAGGGGGTGCGCTCCTCCACTTTGGCCAGCAGCTCTGGCATGTTAAACTCGTCTGTCACTCGCTCGAGGATTTCTTCCAGGAGGGCCTTGACCTGCCCCGCAATGGGAAACACAGGGTTAAGAAGGGCTTCGAACCCTCCAGGACTCCATTCCCCCGTGACACGGAGGTAAAGATGCCAGTCGCCCACCCACGGGCTGACCAGCTGAAGAAGAGAACACAGGTGCCTTTCCAAGAATCGGGAGTTGGGAAAACCCAGAGACTGGCCTGGTTAGCAGTGGGGATCAAACTGGAAAGGCACAGGATAGCCCAGGGTGGTCATTTGAGACCATAGGAAGCTGCAGTGATGAGCAGCAGTGATGAATACATATAAATTCACACTCTCCATTCTGAGTTTCCGTGAGGCTGCCCTGCACTTTCTGTCCTTGGGTCCTGGAAGAAGCATCCCCATCTATCATATCAACCTCCTCCCAGCCCCACGATGCCTTTCACCACACAGACTGTCAGCCAGTTAGACCAGGGGAGCTGGAACCACCAGGGTGTCTCTCCTGGAAGATGGGAACCGAAGCACTGAGATCCTGGGTTATTCGGGAGCAAGCACTTGGAGGCTGAGTCTGCCATTTTGAGGTAAATGAGTAAGGCCAGGAGGTCTGTCAGCAGAGAAAGAAAAATGGAACAAGTGTGGACATAATAGAACATGTGGCCAGTGGGGAGGGATGGAGGAGGGCGCACACCAGCGAGAGGAAGCCAGCCCTTCCCGGGTCATGAGAGCTTGGCTCCAGGAGCACCTGCTGGGATGGGCATTGTTCCTCATCTCCTATAACAGCTCCCCATCTCTGCTTGTGAAGTCCCCTCCTCCCCATCGTTTTGGGGTGCCATCACGGGCCCCATCCTCCCATGATCTAAGTAGGCCGACCAGATCCTCATCCCCAGGAGCAGAAAAATGTGAATCTCAAGCCTGAGATTCAGGGACAGGAAATGGATGGAGCCACTGACCCAAGTGCCCTGAAAGGACACTCTTCTCTCCCCCTAGGACCCTGGAGCCATTGGGATTTCTTTCCTTTCTCAGGTTGGTTCCTTTGACACAGTGGGCTATTTCTTGCCTGTTTCAGCTAAATTTGCCTCTGTTGCTTGCAACCAAAGACCCTTGGCTCAGTTAATAAAGTTCTGTTATGCGTTAACCATGTGAGTGTGAGCAAGTCAGCTAGGCCTCCATTTTTATCTATAAAAATTTCCAAGAGCATCTTTCTCCACCTGCCCCCTCCCCCCCAACTCCCAGGGCTGATGCAGAGATCAAATTGAGGGAGCTGATGGATGTGGCGGCATCTGAAAGCTATACAGAGCTACAGAAATGATTATTAATATTCACTTTGCCTTGTATTGTTAACACACAATACAGTCTCTAGAAAAAGAGCTGATGTCTGAGAAAGGAAAGTAAAACCTCCACTCCCTGTCAGAAAGGGGTCTCTGGGGCTGTCACAGCAAAAACCAGAACAGAATTTTAATGGTACCTGAGAGGTGCTGCTGGGATAGAAGACAAATGACTAAATTTATATCATGTTTCTATCTCTGGAGCGGAATTTGAAGAAACAGCCCCATATCAGTGAGCGGCCATTCGGACACTGCACAGAGAGATGAAAAGATAGTCTGGAGGCACTGTCCCAAAATACACGGAACATGGAGAAACAGGGTTCTCTTCTGTCTTGATCAGGCTGAGCAGGATTTGGAGACCAGGCCAGAGGACAGGGAGGACAGCCAGGGAAGGGAGCAGGTGCACAGACCTGGAGGAGCCCAGGACGGA